AATAAGCATTCGACAAAGTACAGCATCCCTTTATGTTCAAAACACTAAAAACTAGGGATAACAGGAACTAACCTTAACATTGTAAAAGCTATCTATGCTAAGCCTCAGGCTAGCATCATTCTGAATGGAGAAAAATTGAAGGCATTCCCTCTAAAATCTGGAACAAGACAGGGATGCCCTCTATCACCACTTCTATTAAATATAGTTCTCAAAACACTGGCCAGAGCAATTAGACAGACAAAAGAAATTAAAGGCATAAAAATAGGAAAAGAAGATCTTAAATTATCACTATTTGTGAACGACATGATTCTATACCTAGAAGACCCAAAAGGGTCTACAAAGAAACTACTAGAACTAATAAATGAATTCAGCAAAGTGGCAGGATATAAAATCAACACGCATAAATCAAAGGCATTCCTGTATATCAGTGACAAAACTTCTGAAATGGAAATGAGGAAAAACACCCCATTCACAATATCCTCAAAAAAAAAAATAAAATACTTGGGAATCAACCTAACAAAAGAGGTGAAAGATTTATACAATGAAAACTACAGAACCCTAAAGAGAGAAATAGAAGAAGATCTTAGAAGATGGAAAAATATACCCTGTTCATGGATAGGCAGAACTAACATCATCAAAATGGCAATATTACCAAAAGTTCTCTATAGGTTTAATGCAATGCCAATCAAAATCCCAATGGAATTTCTTGTAGAAATAGATAAAGCAACCATGAAATTCATATGGAAAAATAAAAGACCCAGAATAGCAAAAGCAACTCTAAGCAGGAAGTGTGAATCAGGCGGCATAGCGATACCAGATTTTAAACTATACTACAGAGCAATAGTAACAAAAACAGCATGGTACTGGTACCAAAACAGGCGGGTGGACCAATGGTACAGAATAGAGGACACAGAGACTAATCCACAAAGTTACAACTATCTTATATTTGATAAAGGGGCTAAAAGCATGCAATGGAGGAAGGATAGCATCTTCAACAAATGGTGCTGGGAAAACTGGAAATCCATATGCAACAAAATGAAACTGAATCCCTTTCTCTCGCCATGCACAAAAGTTAACTCAAAATGGATCAAGGAGCTTAATATCAAATCAGAGACTCTGCGTCTGATAGAAGACAAAGTTGGCTCCGATCTACATATTGTGGGGTCGGGCTCCAAATTCCTTAATAGGACACCCATAGCACAAGAGTTAATAACAAGAATCAACAAATGGGACTTACTTAAACTAAAAATTTTTTTCTCAGCAAGAGAAACAATAAGAGAGGTAAATAGAGAGCCTACATCCTGGGAACAAATTTTTACTCCTCACACTTCAGATAGAGCCCTAATATCCAGAGTTTACAAAGAACTCAAAAAATTAAACAATAAGATAACAAATAACCCAATCAACAAATGGGCCAAGGACCTGAACAGACACTTCTCAGAGGAGGACATACAATCAATCAACAAGTACATGAAAAAATGCTCACCATCTCTAGCAGTCAGAGAAATGCAAATCAAAACCACCCTAAGATACCATCTCACTCCAGTAAGATTGGCAGCCATTATGAAGTCAAACAACAACAAGTGCTGGCGAGGATGTGGGGAAAAGGGTACACTTGTACATTGCTGGTGGGACTGCTAATTGGTGCAGCCAATTTGGAATGCAGTATGGAGATTCCTGGGAAAGCTGGGAATGGAACCACCATTTAACCCAGCTATTGCCCTTCTTGGACTATTCCCTGAAGACCTTAAAAGAGCGTTCTATAGGGATAATGCTACATTGATGATCATAGCAGCACAATTCACAATAGCTAGACTGTGGAACCAACTTAGATGCCCTTCAATAGATGAATGGATAAAAAATGTGGCATTTATACACAATGGAGTATTACTCTGCACTAAAAAATGACAAAATCATGGAATTTGTAGGGAAATGGTTGGCACTAGAGCAGATTATGCTAAGTGAAGCTAGCCAATTCCCTAAAAAACAAATGCCAAATGTCATCTTTGATATAAGGAGAGCAACTAAGAACAGAATAGGGAGGAAGAGCATGAGAAGAAGATCACCATTAAACAGGGTCTAGAGGGGGGAGGGAAAGAGAGAGAGAAAGGAAATTGCATGGTAAAGGAAGGAGACCCTCATTGTTATACAAAATTACATATAAGAGGAAGTGAGGGGAAAGGGGAAAAAAACAAGAGAGAGAAATGAATTACAGTAGATGGGGTAGAGAGAGAAGATGGGAGCGGAGGGGAGGGGAGGGGGGGATAGTAGAGGATAGGAAGGGCAGCAGAATACAACAGACACAAGTATGGCAGTATGTAAAAAAGTGGATGTGGAACAGATGTGAATCTGCAATATGTATACGGGGTAAAAATGGGAGTTCATAATCTGGTTGAATCAATTTTATGAAATATGATATGTCAAGAGCTTTGTAATGTTTTGAACAACTAATAATAAAAAAAAATAAAAAATAAAAAAAAATAAACCAAAAAACCAAAAACAAATCATATATAAGAAGGAAAAAAAGCAGGGATTTCAATGTGTGGAAGAATTTGTGAGTTTCCATTTCCAAAATTAAATTAGAGGTAGAGTAAAAATTTCCCATTCCTCTTGACTTACTCACAAAATTGAGGGCTGAAGAAGTGACCCCACAGTGCTAATTTTGTTTACCACAAATGATTATAAAGGTGTAAAATTTAGTGATAAAAAGATGTTGGGACTACCTACAAAAAGTATACAGGGCAGAAAAATAAACAAGGGAATTAGAAACAAGTATGAATGGTTGTGGAGTGATCCACAAATCCACAGATACCTAAAATTCACTTTGGAAAGATTACTGCTCTTTCTAAACTTTCACTTTGAGGGGGAAATCCTAGGGAGAAACACAAAGCTACATTCAAGTTAAGGTAGAGGTATTGGAAGCCAAAAAAGTTCACTATGGAAGCCTGAAACTTTAATGAATCATCTCTTGTGGACCAGGTTTAAAAGTTCATTCTTATTCAGCAGGTCTTTGCCTCTACATGTCAATTATATTCTAAGGTGACTCCAAAGATCTTAATCTGCAGATAGCATATTTTGGAGCCACTAATAGGATGTCCATTTGGGAAATATAAATGAACAGATATTTGTTCCTACAATTCAGGACACAAGCAGATCAAGTGCCAGCATAAATCTTGCTTTCATTCTGAGCATGTCACTTGGGAAGTGTGAAGAGTTCAAAAGATAAAGACATAGACATCATATTTCTAAGAAAAATTTGCCATATTGACAGGCCAGAGGGGGTGAAAGTGACTCATACAAAGAATGTAAAATGTAAAAAATCAAGCTCCCAGCTCTAGAGGTTACTTGGGCAAAGCTAAAGGGAAGAGAAAGGGAGGGAGGGACCAAAGAGGAAATGAGAAAACTAGGAAAATTTTACTGAGGAAAATGAGAAAACTTAGAGAATGTTATATAGTGTTTTCAGGGTGTCTTCCTTCAAACCAAAGTTGATAGTATTCCTAGTTCAGAGATGATTTGCACCAGTAGGGACTAGAAGAATCAGTGCAACATGCATCTACCAATTTCTTTCCACCATATCTATTAGGCACCATGATGAATACAGCATCCATAAGAGTCATTCAGATAAGCAAGCAAGCATTTTTGAAATATTGGTTGTTTTTTAGACAGAAAATATTTTCATTTTATTTATTATTGTCCTTATTATTATTGTTTTATCATTATGTTGTTGAGTTGGATGTTCCTGAGCATGTCAGAAATTCACTCTTATCACTGAGTTAATTTCTGAACGCTAGATAGCTAATTTTCTGATCAATTAGGTCTTTCAGAAAAATACAAAAAGCTGTCTAGATATGCCATCCCAGAGTCATTTTTAAACTATAAGTTGTTTGTAATTTATCTTCGAATAGCAAGACTCATATTTTCAGTGTACATACTAATGACTGAAATACAATAGCTTATTGATATCTAATAATTCTGCAAGTTTTCAGAATACTTTCCCTGCCGATTGTAATCTCTGTGCTTTATCATAATTTTTTATTGGATGTGAGACCAGTATCTTGCAAAAGAGTGGAAAAAGAAACAAGATGTTGGTTTAAAAAAAGGATTCTGGAAAAGAAGATGAACCAGTTTCCCACATGGGTATGATAAAACACCCATACATGTATTTGCTGTTATTCTAATAACATATCTGAGCTAGCTCAGAAAATTCTCTCTAATGAGAAATGTAGTACACCTTTCTCAGGAATCTTATAAAAATTTTGGACTTAGTAATTATAAGAAAAATGAGGAACAGGATACATATTTACAATAAAATGACCTATATATTTTTGATAGGCTTCACTTGAGATATGTACTGCCATATTTTAATTCAGCTTTGACTTTGAACATCTCAGGTTCCTTCCTTGCTCCTGTGAATACAGATGATGTGCTCTGCAGCATTCTGCACTTTGACATTAGTATTTAAAACAATGTTTCTGTATTTTTGGTCATTGAAACATGATTTTACCATAGGAAACTTAGCTGCAAATTTTACAAAACCCAATTTACATTTAGTACATTTCAGTCTTGTGGCCATACTCAACAATAAATCACATACAAATACAGAAGTCCGAAAGCTAAAGTAGTCTTCATCATTGATAACCACCAGGACTCTGGTCTATATTCATTCAGTAGGAATATGTGGGTAGTTTTGTTATGTTCAGATTTTGTTGAATATTTTTCTCATTTCCTTTTTAGTATTTCAGAATTACCAGAAAGGTAATTCAACTTCTTTGTTTATGTTACATTATTAAAATACATGCTAGATACAATGTAAAACATTTACATAATATCTTATTTCTAAGCACATCAAGCCTACGATCATAAGCAAAGATTCTCTTCCAAAAAAGGAAAAATGGAAGAAGACTTCATGGACACTCAAATCAGGTAACTATTTTCTTTGGGAAACCTATATTAAATATTTTGAAATGATATCAAACTCACCATTCATGATGTATATTTTTTGCTCAATGTGTTGGGAGGATTTGGCTCAACACATATGTATTGATGATTGCATCCAAGTTCTAAAATATTTCTGTAAAAGCATGAGGAAATTAACTCTTCAACTAAGTAGTGAGTTGAGAATATACTTGCACATACTGATGAAATGTTTGCTTATATTTCTGTGACATGTTTTGTTTGTTTATTTTCATCTTAATGGTGGGCACTGAACCAGATCCTTTTGCATACTAAGCAGTTTCTCTCCTGCTGAACCTCTCCCACAGACCTCTCTGATTCTCTGGTGGGTTTTGTATATATCCAAATTTCAAAAAAAGCCCAAAAATTTCCTAAAGAAGTTCCCTCAATATAGGAAGATATTGCCATAGGAGAAAGTACATGATAGAAGAAATCAACATTCACAGGTGGTATGTTTTATTACATATCTCATTTGAAACCTTGAGTAACAGTCAGGTGCAGAATCTCACATTCCTGGGGCCCAGCTTCTTTCTTTCTCATTCAGTCAACCTTCATTATCACAAGTCACTGAAATTTTTCTAATATTTCTGAAAAGACCCCCACACACACCAATTCAGGCCTGAATCAACTTCCTAGTGCACTTCTGCCTTCTCATTATTCAACTGCATTCATGCACATGCTCCTCATGTTCAACTGCCCATAGCATTGAGATTGTTCCAGCTATTTATGCATGTATTGCATGTATGACCATCAGCCCTCTTTAGAATGTGGATATCCAAGCATCTTACCTTTCCTAGAAAACTTTCATGATAGAAATTGTACAAACTCTGTATCTTGATCCCTTTCTCTGCTGCACTGTCCTCTGGCAGTTCTCCTTAGCAATCCCTATATTGTCAGAGAAACATGTTCCCATTTAACCCTTTTCTCTATGCCATGTTATTTATTTAATGTTAATTAAATATCTAAGGTCAATATTACTATGGTTTGAAATTTGTCTCCAAACTTTCCATGCTCTTCTCATTTCCTGCCTCAGGCTGATGACCCCACTTTTTAAGTTTCCATTCATCCTTACCTCTAGAAATATATCGTCACTGGGATTTGTTATCTTCTCTAACCCTTACGACAAAGTCATTTGTCCATAGAAATAAATAAAGCTGTTGACACCAATGTGATATAAAACTGGTCCATTCAAATCCAGGAACTGACGGACTAAACAGGAAAAGGAATAAATCACACGTCACACGGTTATTACCCAGTATAGAAGTTGGCCAATATCAGAGGTAATTCCAGAGAAAGTAATTTCAGTTCTTGTCAGGAATAACAGACATAATCATGGAAGTTTCACAAAACAGAGTGAGTCCTAACAGATAAAGAGAAGAAAAAGGAAAGAAAAAGAAACATGGAGTTCATTGATAAAGGTGTAAGTGTGATCATTTTTATTTGGGAAATCCAAAATGATGTACAGCGTGATTTTTTAAACTTACTCTTTGAACAAAGCAATAGAAAACAGTGTAATATTTCTTGATTTTATGGTCATGCAAATTTTTTTTCTGTGAAATTTTATTTTACCTTGAGTGGATTAACCTCTGAGTTATAATAGGCATTCTGGCATTCTACATTGTGACACCTAGTGTCCCCTCACGAAGCATTAGTAAAATTACTCCTCAATGATCTCCATATGTACTAGGTACAGAGGTGCACATCTGTAATTGTAGGCCCATATTAAGTTTCTGGAAAACCAGGGAATTTACAGAAACTCTGTCTCCATACAAATAAAGGTCTGGGATTCAAAGTTAGCTCTATAGATCTTGGCAAATATGTAGAAGTTCCTGGTATGATTATATATGATCATATAATCCATAGGAACCCAGAGAAACTCCAATAAAAATTTCAGACCATAGTAATATTTATCTTAAATTAAGCTTTATTTAAAGCCATATTCGGAAAAATAATATTACATAAAACTACTACTTTTATGTGTATAAACGTTAGTCTATATTTTTAAGTAGTTTAAATCTGTGCATATGTCACCAGAGTCACATTTTGATGTGCCATCAGAGGAAGAGCAACAGAGGCATAATGGCACTGATAATAGCTTGCAATAGGTATGTACACGTGCCAATTTAAACTTCCCAGATTACTTCTTTCTTTTTCTTTTCTTTCTTTTTTTTTTTTTGCTTCTAGAAGGTAAATGACAACAAATGAATTGATCTCATAGAATACTCTTTAGGGACCTAAATATTGTAATTTAATATTTAAAAGAATTTAACTGTTCATGAACATGAAAGTAGTATTAGAAGCCATGGCAGCTTAAAAATAAACTTTACGCTAGCAGTTGAGCCAATATTTTTGAATAACAATTGTTTTCATTTGTGTGACATTCTTTAATGTGATAAACTGGAGACCCAGAAATAATGGGTTGAAACAAGGAACATACAAAACTTCAATGATCACAGAACTCGTTTATGTGAAAAGACCATCATTCCTAAAGGCTCAAGATTTTTGTTTCTCATTACCTATCACCCATGCCAATGTTTAAGACATAATTCTCCTTGGACTAGAATTTTTAGATCAAGGGAGCAATAGAATGAAATCAACACAAATTACCTGTTAATGGAATATGAACCATTCATGATGGGTCCTGTTCTGTTAGGGTACAAAGAATATCTCCCTATTATATATCCTTCCCATGCAAGAAATCAATACAATTATTAAACATATTCATCTTACCTCTCTCATGGATTTTAAACCATATTTATGTTTTATCTTTAGTGGATGCAGTTATTTGGAAATTTTGGTGGTGTGTTTTTGCCTTCTTTTCTCATGATGTTGATGTTCATAGGTTGAGGATTTCCATGCATTTGGATGGATTTCCCTTCCTTGGTTACATGTGGAACCTTGTAGCATGCAAATTTTTCCTTTGGATGTGTCCTGGGCAGGGGTTATATCTCAGCACCTTGTCCACAAATGAGCATGTTCTACATGCTATTTCACTCACCAGTATCTCTTTCAGGGGGAGGGAACATACTTCAACAACAACCAAACCTTAAAGAAAAATGTTTATCATCTATAAATGAAATATATATTTTAAACAATCTCTAGAATACCACAAAATGAAGACATGGAGTAGGAAAAAAATATGTACCTGGCTAAAAAAAGAAGGCTTGGTTATAATAAAATTATTAGGACATATTTTAATCTTTCTACATTGAGAAAACTCATGTAGGAACCTGAAATATGTATGTACAAAGCCCACAGAGGATCAGAAAGATCTGTGGTAGACGCTCAGTTGTAGAGCAACTGCTTAGCATGCAAAAGCATCTCATTCGGTGCACATCATTGAGAAGAATGATAAACAACCAAAACATGTCACAGAAATATGAGCAAACATTTCATTGGTATTTGCAAGTATATTCTCGATTTACAACTCTTACTCAAAATTTCTGGGAAAAACTGTTCTCCAGCAAATAATGGATCTATTTTATAGGAAAGGAGTAAAATAAATTACATATGTGTTGAGTAAAGCCACAAGACTCAAAGGTACTAAATCAAAATCATAAATATGTGTTTAGAAAAATTTGCAGTTAAATTTTCAAAGGTAAAATCAATTTTGCAATGACCATTTATACAAAAATATTAATATATTCAACAATTCAAGATGCATAATGCTGGAGAGCACAGTGATCTGTATTCAGAGGAGGTGAGAAGGACCGTTAGAAGTTCAATGTCAAAGCTGAATTGGAAATATGGCAGCAGATATCTTGAGTGAATTATATCAGAATCATTGAATCCATTTTATTATAAATATGTTTCCTGTCCTTCATTTACCTTATAATTAACAAGTTCGATATTGTGTTGAGATTCTGGGGGAAGCTATATTTTTTGCTCATCCGAGAGAGTTTTCTTACCTAATTAGCTCAGATATAGTGTTTACAATAACAGCTAATATACATAGATATGTGATTCATACCCATGTGGGAAACTGGTGCCTCTTTATTTCCTTCATCATCTGGTTTAACCAACATTAAGTTTATTTTTCCTCTCTTGTGTGAATATAGTGGTCCCACAACTATGCAGACAATGTGTTTATTATAAAGCATAAAGAGTTCAGACAAGATAATCCAAAAGGAAAACTGTTCTGAAAGCTTGCAGAATTATCAGATATTAATAAACTATTGTGTTTTAAAGAAATTGGTAAATACATTCAGAGTAACAGTGTTGATATTTGAGGAAAGTATTTGCATAAAAGTTCTGGTTCATCACAACATTGGCACTCTAGATTTCAGAATTTATCTCAGTAATGTCATGCATTCCTGGCATGCCATGGAATTGGTTTTTCAACCTAGCAACAATAAAATAATGATAAAAACAAACATATTAAGGATAATAATAAGATCAATATGAATAGAAATATTAGCCTTCTTTAAAACAACAAATTCTTCAAAAATGTAATGTTGTTCACCCGAGTAACACACATGGATGCCCCACATATTGTGGTGCCTACTAGATACAGAGAAGAGAAATTGGTAGCTGTATGTTGTCCTGAATCTTCGAATCCCCACTAGTTTCAATTGTCTCTACACCAGATATAGTTTGAAAGCAGACAAACTGAAAAGAGCGGAGTAACATGCTCTCCATTTCCTCATATTTCTTATGTAAATTCTTTGTACTTCCCTCATTTTCCTTTCTTCTTAGCTCTTCCATTTTACATTCTATGTATGAATTTTTGCCACTCCTTCTTGCCTGCCAATGTAACAAATTTATTTTAGTAATACAAATTCTTCATCTAAGACTTTGGAGTCCCTCCTAGTTCTCAAGAAACATGCTCAGAATAAAGCAAGGTTTATATTTGCACTTAATCTGCTTGTGTCCTCTACTGTATGAACCAATAGCTGTTCATGTATAGAAAATCATGTTGTCTGTAGACCAGAATCATTGGAATCAATTTAGAATGTAATGGACATGTAGAAGCCAAGATCTGCTGAGTCAGAATAAGATTTTGAATATGGTTCCCAAAAGATGATTTCTTACAGTTCTAGAGTTCCAGTGTCATTTTTTTTCAAAGTTAATTTTAGATACCTGTGGATTTGGGAAATGCTCAGTACCCATTCATATTTCTTTCTACTTTTCCATTTGCTGTTTCTGTCCTACATTTTTGTCCTAGGGTGTAGCAACATGTTGCCTGTCACTAAATTGTATATATGCCTAATCATTTATGGTAAATGAACTTATCTTTGTGGGATCAGGTCATTACTCTTAAATTCTTTTTCAACTCTGAATAAGTCAGGAAGGTTGGGAAAGTTTTACTCTTCCCTTCATTCATCTTTGCAATTTGAAACTCAAATCCTTCTCACATTTTGAAAACCCTGCTCTTTTCCCTTCTCATTTGTGGCTTGAAGTTTGCAACTTCTCCTGAGTACAAATGATTCTTTTTCCTTTTTTCTCTGTGTACTCACTGCCTTTCTCAGTCTTCATTCCTGCTTCTTCTCTCCTTTTTCTTATTTTGAATTTAGTTGTAATAGAAGTATGTCTTAAATGCAACTAAATGCAACTCATAGTTCTGTTCCTTTAGCAATACCCCCAATTCAACATGTGGTTGAAACCTAATAAGATATGTCACTTCTTACCTTCCATTTCTTTACTAGTTATCTAACAGGCACATTCTTTGAACAATTATTGTATATTAGTGTTCATATGTTTTTTGGCAATATTCCCTCCAATGCATTTTGTATCCTATGTGGATCTTACCATGTACTTGTCCATTTATTTTCTTCTTTGCTCTTTGATGGAACTCACCAGATGTAGAAGCACACATTTCTGGATGTTGCTCAGAATGACTCTGGTAAAAATCATGATAATAATGAGTTGCATATAGATTTCATCATCCTTCTTTACAGATACCCATATTTATAATTGTGAAGTCATTGGTATTGGAGATTAGACCATTACATTTGGTGAAACAATACTTTCCATATGAGACACTATCCTATGCAGTCCAAATGAAGCTGAGCTCCTCTCTTCATCTGGCTACTGATGGGGTAAAAGCAGGAAGAATGAAAGAGGAAATGAGTTCCCTAACAACAAAATCACTGATATACATATATCCAAAACATCTCACATTAGTGCTCAACTAGTAAACTTTGTACTTTCCAGAAAAACACCAAACACAGTAGAATATTTATTTAAAACTCTTATGAGAAATGGAATTAATGTTACACAGATTCAATATTTTAAACATGGAAGGGCTGAATGTTTAGTGTTAAAATATGATACTACATGTAATAAGACACTTTCAAATCTATCATCTTGTGTGGGTATTAAACACTCTTGAACTTGTCTGATGTGAGTCACCAGAGTTTTCCAAATATTAATGTCTTTCAGCAAAATATTTACCTATACAAAATCTCATTTTAAGAATAGAGAAATTCAGAAAGAAAATGTGTCTGTATTTCATGTGCACAAACGTGATTACTCAATCTGTGTAGGGTAGGCAATACTTTTCACTGAAGAAAAAACTAAAAGGAATCCAAAGGAAGTAAGGCAGAAGAACATGTTGTGTTTACTGACTATTTTCAGAGACTAGAACAAGAAAAATTTGTGTATGACTGCACAATGAAAAGTAAAGGCTGTGGGAAAACACTGGAAAGCCACAACACAGAGCTTTTGACCAGATGAAATATAGAAATAATGGCTTTTAAAACAAGGAATGCATTCATAGATGGAATAGTCTATATCCATGCCAGGGAATACTTGCTGGGTGGAAGAGATGAATCACCCTTCTGGTGGGCTGAGGAGAATTTCACCAACCCAATTCAAAAATGGAGAAAAACAGGAGATAGACTCTTCTCAAAACAAACATTACAAATTGTATACAGAAACAATAAACTTGGTCAACATGACTAGAATTCAAGGAAATACCATTAAAAATTGCATTGACATTTCAGATGCCTCCAGTCAGAAAGATATTTATCAAGTATTCAAATAATAAATGCAGTGCAGGATGTGGGGGGAAAAGTGCAATCTTACACAGTGAGAGTGAAAATTAAGACTTCTACACTGGAAAGTAGTATGGAGTTTCCTCAGGATTCTAAGAATCCTGAAATAAGATTTTCCACTTTTTTCCCACTCCTAGATACTATCCCCAATGTAGCAAAATCATTATACATGTCAATATGAACTTCAAAGTTTTAGCATTGCAAGTCACAATTATAACATTATGGAACTCACTCTGATACCCATCAATAGAAGACTGGACTTTAAGAAAACATGGAAATTGGCACTGATCTTGAGCAAATTAGCTATTCATAATACACCATTATGTCAAAATGAATCCCCATAAAGTATATGAAAACCTAAATGTCCTAAAATTTAAAACTGTACCAGAAAAATGTCCTTAATATTATAAAGGAAAATATTTTAGAGCAGAAATAGGAAACTAATGTAGATTCCTCTCAATTCAAACACAGAATTTTAAGCAAAAGAAAATTTGGATTTTTGTGCAGATATCATACAATATTCAAAATACTGCCAAATCTCCTAGGCAGTATTAGAATACTAGTACAAGAGACACTTCACTCCAATTACTTTATACAGGCTTTCTTCCTGGGATATGACTAAAAAACATACATTTCTATTTTATTTTTACAACATTGAACCATGGCATAAACAGTGGTTATGGAGACACCAAGAATAAGAATTTAGAATTATCATGGGTATAAAATAGAATCTAAAACATAGATCTGATGAGAGCTCTGAGCAGCTAGAGCTTGGTCCTGTGGTCTGCCTAAAGATTAAAATGTCACGGTACTTTCATTGAAAAATGTCGTTTGAAGCTCTGTGACAGCAAGTGACAGGGTTATGTCTGGGAGAAAACTGGCAGCATGCAGAAAATCACACATTTAAGCAGATATACCACATATGGTCAACCCACTCAGCTGAGATGCATTTTGGATCCTTGTTCACATTTCCACAACTCTGATGCTTGTAGACACCCTCCTAGAATTACAATATAATCCTTTTCTCAATGTAGAAAGATATTGCCATAGGAGAAACTACATGATAAATGAGAGCAACATTCACAGTGGCTACATTTTGTTATAAATCTCATTTGAAACCTTGAGTTATACTCAGAAGCACATTGAACATTCCTGTGGCCCAGCCTCTTACTTTGTTCATGTAATTAATCTTCAGTTTACACATGTCACTGAAAACTTTCTATCCTCTGTATTTCTGGAAGCATTCCCTCCAATAATGCCTGCATCAACTTCCTAGTGCACTGCTTACTGCCTTCTCATTATTCATCTACATTCATGCACATGCCCCTCATGGTCACATGCTTATAGCATTGTGCTTGCTTCTTCTATTTATGTATATACTACATATATGACCATTGGCCTCTTTAGAACATGGATGTCCAAGTATCTTAAATTTCCTAGTAATCTTTCATAATAATCTTTCAAATTCTACCTCACTCTGTATCTTGATTCTTCTCTTTGCCTGCAGTGTCCTCTGGCAGTTCTCATTACATATTCCTTTAAATCCTCTCTCTATTTACAGATTTCCAAACTCTTCGCATTGTCTTCCTCTGGTTAATAGCCTCACTTTGAAGTCTCCATTCATCTCTATTTTTAGAAAAGATTTTGTTCCTGGTCCCTGTTATCTCCTCTAACTCCTACCACAAACTGAATTATGGGTGGAAGTAAATAAAACTGCTGACAATAACATTAAGTAAAATCAGGACCCTCATGTTCAGGAACTGATGGACTAGATGGGAAAAGGAATACCTTACAGGTCTCATGTTTATTACCCAGTATGGAAACTGGATAATATCTGAGGTAGCCTGAGTGAAAGCAAAACTAGTTTATGTCAGAAATAACAGGCATAATAATGAAAGATCCACAAAAAAGAGTGATTCCTAATAGGAAAAAAAAAGAACGGGAAAGGGGTAAAAAACAGCATGGAGTTCATTGATTAAGGTGGAAATGTGATCTGTTAGTTGGGACACCAAAGATAAAGTACAAAGGATGTTTACAATTTAATATTTGAATGAAGTGATAGTAAAAATTGTAATGTTTCCTGTTTCCATGGAAATTTAAATTTTTTTTTCTGTAAAATTTTGTTTACCTTGAGTGTATCAACCTGTAAATTATTAAAGGTTTTGTACATGGTGACTAGTGTTTCCCCAAGAGCTGTTCTGAAGTATTTTATAAGTAACATTACTCCTCAGCGATGTCAATATGTACTGGGTTCAGAAGGACATGTCTATAATTACAGGTACTTTAGAGGCTGAGATAGCCCCCTGTCCGGTTTCTAGCAAATCAGGTTTACAGACACTCTGTCTCCAAATATAATGATATGTGAGTTAAATAATCATTATAGTCCTTGCCAAGGATACACATGTCCCTGGGTAAAATACACAGGCCCACACACAAACAGCAATAAAAATTTCAAATAACAGATATATTCATATATATATATATATATATATATATATATATATATATATATACAGAATATATACAGATATATATATTCCCCTAAAATCAAGCTTAATATGAAAGTATAATTGGGAAAATAAAATTATGTGAGCATTACTGCTCTTCATTTTTATTTGGATAAATTGTCATCCACACTAATTTTATAAGGAGTTTAAGTAAATCTGTGCATTTGTCAGCAGAGTCACATTTGGACAAGTCATCAGAGGAAGAGCCTATGAGGCTTGATGGTACTAGATATAATCAGCAACAGGTATGCACATGTGTCAAATAAAATTCCTGATTACTTCTCTTTTCTTGATTCTAGAAGGTAAATTAGGCCTATTGAAATGGTAATTTTGTATTTAAGTATAGAGAATGTGACCTCTCTTGAACATTAAAATAGCTTTAAAAATCAAGATGGAGGGCTGGGGATGTGGCTCAAGCGGTAGCGCGCTCGCCTGGCATGCGTGTGGCCCGGGTTCGATCCTCAGCACCACATACAAAACAGAGATGTTGTGTCCGCCGATAACTAAAAAATAAATATTAAAAAAATTTTAAAAAAATCAAGATGGATTCCAATTTTATATAATTATAATATAATTATATTATAATATAATTATAATATAATATAATTATATATAATTTTATATATAAGCAGCTCCACCAATATTTTTGAATAATGTTTGTGTTTTCATCTGTGTAAACATACTTAAATGGTGGTTGATAAATTGGAGACTTAGGAATAAACAGTTGAACTAGGAACATACATAAATGCAATGCCACTGAACCCAGTCATGTAAAAACAGCTTCATTCCCAAAAGCTCAACATTTAATTTCACATCCATGTGAAAGTTAAAATACATTATTCTTCATAGATTCCAGTGTCTTGACCGAAGAAGAATACAGGCTCAACTCAGACACAAAACTGCCCATTAACAGAATATGAACCATTCAGGATGGGTACTTTTCTGTTAATGTACAAACAATACCTACCTATTTCATATCCTTTCTCTGAAAGAAATTAGTACAATTATTAAACATGTGAGGGGATCTGGCTATGTGTCTTGGAGGTGCAAGGCATGCAGTAGTTTCTGATGTCTCCCTCTAAGTTGCTAAAATGAAACCCTCACACAACGTGTTTCCACTCAGGATTCTATTGTAGTTCTCAGGAGTGTGTCTACAAGCACTAGAGTGGTGGAAATGTGGACAAGGATTCCAAATGTATCTCAGCTATGTGGGTTGACCATACGTGGTATTCGTGCTTATGTGTGAATTTTTTTTTTTTGCATGATACCACTATTCTACCAGAAATAACTTCATCACTTGCTGTCACAGAGCTTCAAAACACATTTTTCAAAGTACCATGACATTTTAATCTTTAGGTACACCACAGGACAAAGCTCTAGCTGCTCAGAGCTCTCAGCAGATCTATGTCTCAGATTCTATTTTAAACTCATGCTAATTCTAAATGCTTGTTGTGAGTTAACCACTGTTTATGTCAGAGTTCCATCCACATAGTTACTACAATGGCACCCTTCTCAAAGTTGTTTGCCCTCAGGATTTTATTGTAATCTCCAGGGGGGTGTCTACAAGTATCAGTGTGGTGATAATGTGGATAAGAACTTGAAATGCCCCTCAGCTCAATGGCTTGACCATACCTTATGAGTCGGCACATGTGTGTTGTTCTGCAGGAGGACACTTTTCTTCCAGACATAACCTTGGTACCTACTGTCACAGAGCTTCAAACATGTTTCAGCGAAAGTGCCAGGAACTTTTAATCTTTAGGCAGATCACAGAACTGAAGTCTAGCTACCCAGGGCTATCAGCTGATCTATGTTTCAGTTTATCTTCTACACCCATCCTACTACTTGTTATGGGTACATCCATAACCACTGTTTAGACAGAGTTCCATGTTATGAAAGTTAAAATAGTAATGATATTTTTTTCCCTGCAATCTTGGAAGAAAGTGTGGTTACAACATACGGGGTGACTTGGCTCCTGCCCGTGCAGTCCCATTCTGTCTAGGAGATTTGGCAGTATTTAGAATTATGGTTGATATCTCTGAAAAAAATCCATGTCTCTTTTCCTGAAAATACTGTATTTGAAATGAGAGGAACCTTCATAAGGTTCCTATTTTTCACTAAAATATTGTCCTTTATAAAATTAAGGAGATTTTGCTGTTTTGGGCATTCTATTAATGTGAACAATTTGGGATTCAGTTTGACATAGTGGTGTATCATGAATAACTAATTTGCTCAAAATCAGTGCCAAGTATCTTTTTTCCCTTATACATTTTCCTATTGATCAGTATTAGAGTTGGTTCCATAACTTTATAATTGTGACATGCAGTGCTAAAACATCAACATTCACAAATCACATGTACATACTGGTTTTGATACATTGGGGTTAAGATCAATGACTGGGGAAGCTGGGTCATATGGCAGTCATATTCCTAGAATTCTGAGGAATGTCCATACTTGTTTCTTAATTTTCAGGCTGACAGCGTAAGATTGTACTTTCCTCCCACATCCTGCACTAAACTTACTATTTGAATACTTGATAAGTGTTATTCTGACTGGGAGCATTTAAAATGTCAATGCAGTTTTGAATGGTATTTCCTTGAATTCTAGTGATGTTGACCAATTTTCATATGTCTGTGGGCAATTTGTAATTTCTGCTTTGAGAACTGTCTCTCTCTTACTTTTAACCATTTCCTAATTGGGTTGGTGAGATTCTCCTCAGCCCTCCAGAAGGGAGATTCATTGCTTACATCCTGCTAGTTTTCCCTGGCACAGCTGCAGGCTATTCCTTCTATGAATGCATATCTTGTTTTAAAAGTCACACAGCCACATCAATGTTTATAGCAGCACAATTCACAATAGCTAGACTGTACAGCCAACCTAGATGCCTTCAATGGATGAATGGATAAAAAAATGTGGCATATATACACAATGAAATATTACTCGGCACTAAAAAAATAATAAGATCATGGCATTTGCAGGGAAATGGATGGCATTAGAGCAGATTATGCTAAATGAAGTTAGCCAATCCCTAAAAAACAAATGCGGAATGTCTTCTCTGATATAAGGGGGGTGACTCAAAATGGGGAAGAGAGGAAGAGCATGGGAAGAAGATTACCTCTACATAGGGAAGAGGGGTGGGACGGAAAGGGAAGGAGCAAGGGAATTGCATGGATGGTGGAAGGAGACCCTCATTGTTACACAAAATACATGTATGAAGATGTGAGGGAAAAAAAGAATAGCATTACCCTAGATTAGGTAGAGAGAAGAGATGGGAGGGGAGGGGAGGGGATGGGGAGATAGGAAGGATAGTAGAATGAAACAGACATTATTATTATTGTGTGTATATATGTGAATGCATGACCAATGTGATTCTGCAACCTGTATACTCAGAAAAAAGAGAAATTATATCCCATCTGATTCAAATGTATGATATGTCAAATTCATTGTACTGTCATGTATAACTAATTAAAACAAATAAAAAAATAAAATAAATAAAATAAACACACTTACCTATAAAAAAAGATATGATTTCTGTGTTTCATCTGTTCTCTGGCTCTCTGTCATGGCTTTCTAGTATTTCTATACAGACTTTCTTCTTCATTATGCAGCTGTACACCAGTTATTTTGGCTCCAAACTCTGAAAGTAGCCAGGAAACACAGAATGATGCCATGCTACTGCCTTACTTCCTTGAAATTCCTTTCTTCAATGAAAAAGTTGCATATTCTAACCAAATTGACTGTGCTCATGTATCCACATAAAATATAGACACACCTTCTTACTGAATCTCTCTTCTTTCAAAATGAAAATTTGACTATGTAAATACTTTGAACAAAGTGATGAATATTTGGAAGGCTCTGGAGACTCAAATGAAACAAGTTCAGGAGTATTATTCTTCCTACTCCAGGTGACACATTTGAAAGTCTCTTATCACATTACAAATCATATTTTAACAAAAAAGAATTGGCCCTTCATTGTTTAAAATGTTGTAACTGTATACCATCAAATCTAATTCACAAAAGCATTTTAAGTAAATTTTCTACCCTGTTTTTAGATTTAAGAAAGAATGCAGTATTTACTAATTAAGCACTGAAGTTAGTTGGTTTGGATATATGCATATCAGCAAATTTGTTTTAAGGGAACCCATTTCCTCTTTCATTCTTCCTGATTTTCCCCACATCAGTAGCCAGGTAAAGAGTAGAGTTCAGTTTTACCTGGACTGTATGTGAAATTGTGTCTCATGTAGAAATACCATTGCAGAAAATGTAATGGTCAAATCTGCAATTGCAATGTCTTTGTAACTATAAATATAACGATGGTCAGAAAGGGATTGCAGAAATCTATATGAAACTCATAATTGTCATTATTTTTCCCAGAGTGATTCTGAACAACACTGAGAAGTGTGTGCTTCTTCTGTATGCAGTAAATTTGATTCAAACACAAAGATGATAAATGGACATGGACAAGGTAAGAACCACATAGGATAAAAATACATTGAAAAGAATATGGCCAAAAGGGACTGACAAGTAAAGAAACAATCTAGATCTTTCACCTCTTTTGATTCCCAAGTATTTTTTGTTTGAGGCTATTATAAATGGAGTAGTTTTCCTCATTTCCCTCTTAGAAGATTAGTCACTGGTATAGAGAAATGCCTTTGATTTATGGGTGTTGATTTTATATCCTGCTACTTTGCCGAATTCATTTACTAGTTCTAGAAGTTTTCTGGTGGAGCTTTTTGGGTCTTCTAGGTAAATAATCATATCATCAGCAAATAGTGCTAATTTAAGTTCTTTTCCTATACGTATCACTTTAATTTCTTTCATCTGTCTGATTGCTTTGGACAGTGTTTCAAGAACTATGTTAAATAGAAGTGGTGAAAGAAGGCATCCCTGTATTATTCCAGTTTTTAGAGAGAATGCCTTCATTTTTTCTCCATTTAGAATGATGTTGGCCTGGGGCTTAGCATAGACAGCTTTTATGATATCATCTCACTCCAGTCAGAATGGTAGCTATTATGAAGACAAACAGTTGGCAAGGAAGTGGAGAAAAATGTACTATCATACATTGCTAGTGGGACTGCAAATTGGTACAGCTAATATGGAAAGCAGTATGGAGATTCCTTGGAAAACTGGGGATGGAACCACCATTTGACCCCTATCCCTCTCCTTGGTCTATACTCAAAGAACTTAAAAACAACATATTACAGGGACACAGCTACGTCAATGTTTACAGCAGCACAATTCACAATAGCTAAACTTTGGAACCAATCTAGATTCCCTTCAGTAAATGAATGGATAAAAAAATGTGGCATATATACATAATGGAATATTACTTAGCAATAAAAGAGAATAAAATCATGGCAATTGCAGGTAAATGGATGGCCTTGGAGAGGATAATGCTAAGTGAAGTTAGCCAATCCCAAAATAACAAATGCTGAATGTTTTCTCTGATATAAGGAGGCTGATTCATAGTGAGGCAAGGACATGGAGCATGGGAGGAATAGACAAACTCTAGATAGGGCAGAGGGGTGGGAGGGGAAGAGAAAGGGCAGGGTGTTAGCAAGGATAGTGGAATGTGATGGACATCATTATCCAAAGTACATGTATGAAAACATGAATTGGTGTAAACATACTTTATGTACAACCAGGTATATGAAAAATTGTGCTGTATATGTGCAATAAGAATTGTAATGCATTCTCCTGTCATTTATTTTTAAAAAGTCAATTAAAAAATTAAAAAAGAAACAATCTACAGTGTAAATCATAAGGATACAGTAGAAAAAATTGATAAAGTGCTAATGTTGGCTTGAGTAAAGGAATGCTTTTTATTGAGACCCAGAGCCCAAATCAAATAGAAGTACATGAAGCACATTGTCTTTACAGTAGCAAATAAATTTGTCAAATTTTTGAATAAAATATTTCACAAGGTCACAGATAAAAGTGTAAAAATTATCATTCACTTTGGGAAACATTCATGATGAACAGGAATTGTTTAAAAATTTTTTTGAGGTAAAAATTTGTGAACAATATGAATTTATGTTTTTTAAATCTATTTTAAAATTTTGTTTCTGAGAATTGGTTCATTTATATTTGAATAGGTAGATTTGTAGATGAATCTTTGAGATATTTCTTTGCATTGAATCTGGCAACATCCACTTTCTCCACCAAGAAAGATTTGTTAAGAAAAAGACCCTGTTTAAGATTTGGATAATGAGAAATATTTCCTAAGAAAGACAAGATTTATTGGGCACAGTGGAACACATCCACTAGACTTTAAGCTAAACAACAGAAGAGGTCTTATCCCATCCATTTGATCTGAAGAACATAGTACACGTTTTAGGTACTCTTTACATTTGTATAGTGTATGAATAATGCATGTGAAAATATATAGTCATTTATATATAAAAATTACTCACATATTATTTCTATTTTGTTTCCTTCCTGATACAAATTCTGTGATCCAATTAAAACATTTGAATTCAGGTTCTTCATTTGATGTAATAAAACTTAAAAACTGTCAATGCTCACAGTGTTTACTCCATGTAAAAAAAATTGCAAAACTGGAAAATGAGGTTTCTGAACCTAAAAATAAATATTCTGAAGTAAAAACAGTGAAATTAGAGATTAAAAAGAAAAATCTAGTATGGAAACAAGAACTTCAAAATTTGAGGTATGATATGCTAGATTAAAAGAAGGGTTGGAACTCTTTCCTTTATACTACTGGTTCATGGGGGAATGTTTGTAACTGCTGACTTATTTTTAGCATATTGCAAGAGAGAAAACATTTTACTCATCTGGAATATAAAAATCTAGTGAATAAGATAACACACTGTTAAATCATCATTACTTATGAATATTAAATGTATATTCTTCTCAATCACAGTTTAATGGCTATCTTATAGGGATTGTTTATTTATTTATTTGTTTAGGTACCAGAGATTGAACCCAGGGGCACTTAACCATTTAGCCATATGTCCAACCAGTTCATTTATTTATTTATTTATTTATTTAATTTTGAGACTCTAAGTTTCTTAGGTCCTTATTAAGTTGCAGCAGCTGACTTTGATCTTCAGGTACTCCTGCCTCAGCTTTCCTAGTTGCTGGGATTAGAGGCATGTGCCACCACCTGAATAGGAATCTATTTATACAACAAATAGAAATTTGGCTGGATTTGTATCTATATTTTTGGTTTTTGTAGTACAATGAATGTTTCAAGGAATGAAATTTAGAAAATCATTTTCCTCTATTTGTTTACTCTGAATACATTTTCAATGTAGAATTATTTGTTTAGAGAAACTTTTTAAAAAGGTATTTGATATAGATTTCTAAATTCCTCTCAATTTTCCTCTCAATTTTGTTACTGATAATTCTCCCAAAGATAATAAAATGGACATTTTCCACCGCTCAGAAACATGTTTTTAAACATTTATAGTTTTTCTTCTGGTGTTAAGGATCAAAACCGGCTTAGTTCAACTAAGTAGATGTGCTAGTGCTGAGCTAGACCCTCAGCTACAGTTTTAATATTAATATCCATTTAAAAATGAAATGGGAAGTGATTACTGAGTATTTTATTCAAATTAACTCTAGTTTATAAATAAAATTTCTTCTTATTTGTGAAAAAAACACATACTCTTAATTATTGGATCAAGTATTACGTTCAGTCTTGTTCCAAAGGGGAATTTTTTGTTGTTTATAAAATACATAATGCTCAACAAGGTAAGTTGAAAGTGCTGCTGCCATAAGAGAAACACAAAAAGTAGAATAAAGTTGTTTTTCTCAGGAATAATCAATTTAAAGATAAACATATTTTACTGCAGATGTGCCTTTAAAAAGGAGGAGAATACAAGAAATGATTCTCTGTTTATTGAACAAAATAAGGACCAGTTGAATGAAACAGAAAATGAAGATAACAAAGAAATTAAAAAGAAACTTGAAATATCTGCCAGAAAATTTGACAGAGAATTAGATATTACAAGAGACAAATGTAATCAGGTAAATGAGTTTTCAGGAAATTTTTAATTTTTTATAAAATTTTATTTCAACAAACATTTATACTATCCCTTTAATGTACTCTATGCAGCCATGTTTCACTTCATGATGGGGATATGATCTGAGAAATGTGCTGTTTGGCAATTTCACCAACATACAATCATCATAAGTATGTACTTCAGACTTCTCCCAAAATACCAGGATAAATAATTTTCCAGGATCTACATTGTATATGCAGTATATTTGCTCCCAAATCATGGGTATGTGGGGTGTGACACCATCATTTAGGTTTAAAACAAAATATTATCTTACCCTAAAATGAAGTGATGACATTTGTGGCAAAATTAATTATTGCAAATTTGGCATCTTGTAGATATCCAGCATTTGTTTCCTGAAAAAAGAGTTGAGTTTAATAACTGACATAAATATCAGTTTAGGGCCTTTTATGTTAAGATACAGAGAAAACAGATTTAAAACTAGTTCAATATTTTGTTTAAATTTTTTCACAATTGCATCTCTGCCTGTATTTAGGAAATATCTTTACTTTTTGAGGACTTTCTTCTGTCATTTATGCAGTGTAAGCTTGAATAATTCATGTGTGGAGAAGGTTAATGTGATTTAATAACCTACTTCTTTTCAATGATTATTTATTTTGAAGATACCCACTACTAATTAAGCTTTTAGACTTTCTATCCCCTGCTGAGATGAGGCCAAAATCTACTGAAAAGTGTCTTGAGGTCTCATTAGAACAAAATGACACCTACAGGTTGCCAGAATTTATGAGATGGGATTCCAGCAAAACATCTCTGCAAACAAAAATGACAGATATGGCCAAAACTGAAATGAATTGTTTTCCTCTGTTGTTTTCAAGTGTGTGTGTGTGTGTGTGTGCGTGTGCACGCGCATGTGTGTGTTGGACTAAATATTAACTATTTCCATCATGGAAAATATGGAGGATTTTAAATCCACATAGTATAACAATCAGGTGCATATTTAGGGAGTGAGGGTGGCATTGTTGTCCCACTGGATTAAGTAATGTTCTTAATTCAACTTCGTTTATCTGCAGCAGTCCAATGGTGGCTTCACAATGGCCTCATTCAGAGAAAAGGCTTCTAATATTTTTCATAGGAATTGATGATTTTCATATGATCTCAAAACCCTTGCTTCTAACAGTAGATCTTCTAGTTTAGGGACGTGTTTTCACTCCTTTGTTGTGTTAATGTGAAGAAGGTGTGCTTATTATTCCCACTGTTAAGTAATGAGGAAAGTGTGGCCAGCAGAGACACTGGTTTTGGATATCATTTCCTTGATTTTGAGAAGAGAAACACTTTATAGCAAATAATCTCCTGTTTTGTACATAACACTTTGGGAAATAATAATGCACCATAATATGTACTCAGTAATAACTTACTTCGTAATAAATTAAGACAGTTTATTTTCTCCGTTTCACCCTTACTTATATTTCAAATTTCACTAAGAAGAAACAAATAATACTGAGCAGCAACTAAGAGATTTTTTCAGTAGAAATTTATGTATTTCACCATATTTATCATCAGTACTTTGCAACACAAGCCTTCTCTGGAGTTTATACATTCACAGGACATAAATAACTGGCTTGGCAGATGAGCACTAAAAGCAGAGGTGGAAGACTTGAAGAAAATCTCACAACTTGCCTGTAGTTTTGGCCCCACTCTGCTTCCAGAATTGTGTTCATTGATAAACATAGATATGCTTAGTGCAGTTCCTAGTTTTAACATTTATTAATGTGTGCAATTCCTATAACTGACTACAAAATTTTAGGATAGAATATGCATAGAATATTTTAAGGTTAAAAAACCTTAGGTTTCCCTCAATAGATGAATAGATAAAGAAAATGTGGTATATGTACTCAATGGAATATTACTCAGTTTTAAAGAAGAGTGAAATTATAGCACTTGCCAGTAAATGGTTGGAGTTGGAGAATATCATGCTAAGCAAAATAAGCCAATCCCACAAAACCAAAGTTCGAATATTTTCTCTAATATGCAGAAGCTAATTCACAATAAGGCAGGGGGTGGGCACTAGGGAAGAATAGTGTTACCTTAGATAGAAGGAAGTGATGGGAGGGGAATGGAGGGGATGTGGGGATAGGAAAGATAGTAGAATGAAACAGACATTATTACTGTATGTATATATGTGACTGCATGACCAATATGATTCTACAACATGTACACTCAGAAAAATAAGAAATTATATCCCATCTATATATGATATATCAAAGTGCATAAATGCATTCTACTGTCATGTATATAACTAATGAAAACAAATAAAACAATTAAAAAAATAACTTAGGAAAGTTCTATGTGCCTGAGTATATATAGAGTTAAGGCTCTTACCATGGGCTTGTCTTATGAGATGTAAGAGGGCAAACTTTTTTTTTTTTTACATCATCATACTTAGTAATCACTTATTCTATGCCTTGGGTCTAATTCATAAATTTTTTAATTTTGAGATTCTTTAAATTTTAACTTCCTTTTACTCTCACAGATACATTTTGTTGAATTAAGTTTTTAAGTCTTAGGAATGAGTGCTTCTATATGATCTGAAGTTTACATCTAATATTTTTTCAGTGGGACACATATTTATTGCAATACTTTCACTATACAAATATACAGATTATTGATGAATTTCAGAGAAAATTTTGAAATATCATTTTGTTGTATGCTAGCCAAATGTATCCTTGATTTTACTTAGGTTTCTACTAGTGAAACAACAGAGAATGAGCTATGGCATGAATATCACAGGATGAAGGATGAAATCTCCATGATGAGACTGGAAATAGACAAAATAAAATATCAGAACCAGAAAAAAAAACACCTTGACATTACTAAAATTTTAAGAGAAAGGAGTGATGACCTTGAAAGGAAATACAAACTAAATGAAGAAACACTTACAAAACCAACATGCCAGCATAATGAACAGTTGGATATTACAAAAGTGGAGAATACATTGCAAATTTTTACACTGGTGAGTGAGACACAAAGCACAGAAAGGCTGGAAACAGAAGACACATCATACCTGGCCAGACTGGCTGCTGCTCCACATCCTTGGGATAAAAGTCAAACACCAAAAAGAGATCTAGAACTTGCTTTCCAAAAAGCCAGAGATGAGGGCTTTAGTTCACAGAAAGAGAAGAATTTTGATGTATCTAACCTAAAAGATAGTAGTGAGATTCCTTACTAACAGGGTTCACTGTCAGAAATAAAAAACAGTGACCTAGAAAATGAGATTGGTCATAAAAGAGATACTTTCAGAGCAAGGACTTTGGATTCAGAACAAGAAAAAAGACACCTTAAACAAACAAAATGCCAAAGGAAGGGGATGGAACATAGGTATCAAAATGAACAAGAAGATCTAAGAAACAGCTATCCCCCAAGTCTACAAGTGTTTTGTGCCTACTCACAAGGCACAGCTGGAATACAGCTTTTAAATCACCTCTCTGACAGTCTTCTGTTCAACTTGACAGAATTACATCCTGAGATAATTGTCCTGGTTTCTCCTTTGCTAGAAAAGCAATATGACTCATTTTTCCCCTTTTTTTTCTCCAAAACTTGTCCTTAGATATGAATTGTCATCAGGGATAAAGTCTGAGCTCTGGGTAACACCATGGTGTTTACTGAAATGAAGTCACTTATGAGCAAGGCTATGGAGTATGACAACTCTTCTTTCTCTCCTTCTCTTTTTCTGTCTGTGCCCTTTCTCCTCTCACAAACTTAAACCAAGTTTATAGAATGGAGATATGCCCTCCCCCACCGCCACCTTTCAGGGGAGAAGAAAATTAATTGTGAAACCAAGTTGCATTTAAACTGTTTGTAATAAGTCTATTCTTACACAGTATAATAAGTTTATAATAAGTCTGTACTATATACAGAAGGATATTTGGCTGACAATCATGTTTTCTGCCTAAGTATGACCAAATACATTAAGAATTCGAAGTGAAAACTGAAAAACAAAAAAGTGTGCCAAACAGAGGTTGAGCTGACTCTTGGGTCCTGAATTCCAGGCCCACTGTGCTGCTGATGAACCACATGTGTTTGAACTCAACACACAGCTCTCAGCTTTTGGGCACTTAGGTTGAACCCCCTCAACAATAAAATGTGAAATTTAGGTAACACGATTTTTAGTCCTTCTCAGTTCTAAACTTTCTGAGGCTCCAGCACAAAATGCCTGTGTTAAGCATCCATTTATTTGAATTGCAAATATTCATCAAGAGTTAAGAATAAAAAGAATAGAATAATTCTAAAACAAATAACTCTTACTGTGACAAACATACAATTATCACAAAACTGGAGCATTTTGAGAATGAAAGGTCTCCTAAAAAATTAAACATATCTAAGCAAAAGATATATATACATATGTAATATACATACATATATATGTATATGTGTGTATATATATTATATATAATATATATAAAGACTAACCACTTTTTGTATTATTTTGGTGAACCTATATAATAGTTATTTTAAAAAACTGTTTGAAAAGAAAATTTTAAATAATATTTTATGCATGAAAGCAATGAAATACAATTTTTGTATAGCTTAATTTTTGAAATTACAAAGGAGAATATTAACTCTTGGTCCATACAGAAGAACTTTCATCATTTAAAAAAAATCATATTCTTCTTTAGCACTGTTCCACTTGTATCTTTCAAAATAATATATTTCTTATTCCAGTATGGTACCATTATTATCATTTTCGTGAAATTGTACTGTGTGATATTCTGGGATTAAAGCAATTGATTTTTTAAAATTTTTTGTAGTTGTAGATGTACAAAATGCCTTTATTTTATTTGTTTATCTTTATGCGGTGCTGAGGATGGAACCCAGTGCCTCACACATGCTAGATAAGTGCTCTGACACTAAGCTACAGCCCCAGCCCATCAATTTTTTTAAACGTCTGACTCTTCTCTTTTTTCCTGCGTGTACCAGAGTTTGTTTATTCAATCACTTACAGAGAACACCTTAGATCCTCTCATATTTTGACAATTACTATTAAGGTGACAGATTATTAATACTGGAGGAATATCAGGGCTTAATAACCTTCTAGATTATGAATCCTGAGCAATTTCAGACCAAGAGACTGAATGTCTTCTGCACTAAGCATATAAAAAAAGGAATTACAATTAACATGCAATAATAATTAGAATTAATTTTATTTTTATTATAGTTTTATAGTTATACACATTAGTTGGGTTCATTGCAACAAACTTGTACATGCACCAAATTCTGATTCATTTTAGGATTCCTTCCCTTTTTTCCCTTCCATCCTTTCTCCCCTCCCCCATTCTTATTCCTCTACTCTATTAGACATTTTATCATTCATTTATATTCGAGTGGTCCTTTTTACTTATGCATAACTGTGAAATCACCCGTGGTATATTTACATATGTACATATACTGATGTGTTTTAAAAAATCATTTTTCCTTGCCTCCCCTTACCCATCCTCCCACTTTGCCTCTAGATGTCATTCTACATTACTAATCTGTGTATTTATGTATTTATGTAATCCTATGAATCACTCCCACTTTCCTTTGTTTTACTCTAGCTAGTACATATAAGAGTTTCTGAATTTGGTTTATTTCATATTCTCCATTTCCTCAATTTACTAGTAAATGCCATAATTTTGTTCCTTTTGTTGGCTGAGTAGAACTCCACTGCGAATATTTATATCTATATCTATCTATATATCTCACAATTTTTTAATTCATTCATCTATTAACAGGCACCTGGGTTGATTCCATGATTGTGAATTGTGCTGTTATAAACACTAAGATGGCTCTATTATTATTTGCCAATTTAAGATCTTTTGGAAAAATACTAAAAAGTGGAGTATCTGGGTCAAATGGTGGTTTCGTACTAGTTATTTTTGAGGAATCTCCTACTGCTCTCCAGAGTGGTCATACTAGTCTGCAGTATGACCAAACAACAAGTGTACCTTTTTCCCCACAACTTCACCATTTATTATTGTTTGTATTCAATATCCTTCTGACTGGAGTAATAAGAAATCTTATTTGCATTTCCCTGTCTGAAGAAGATGTTGAATTTTTTTTTCATATATTTTTTGGCCAGTTATGTTTCTTCTTTTGACAAATTTCTGTTTAGTTCTTTTGTCACTTATTTATTGAGTTATTTGTAGTTAGCTGATCAACATTTTCTCCCATTCAGCAACCTACCTCCTGTCCTTACCAATTACTATCCATGAAATTAATACTATTATTAATATAGTATCATTCAGCTATCATTATAACCACATACTGAGCGATTATTATGTGCCCAGCCCTGATCTAAACACGTTTCATGTACTTACTCATGTCATCCACTCATCTATCCTAGGAGGTAGCTGTTATTTTAATTTTATAGGTAAGGAAACTGAGGCACTGAGAGGTGGAGTTATTTGCCCAAGGCCCACAAACAGTAACAATGGGATTGAGTTAAAATGTGGCTATCTTGGGCTGGGGTCGTGGCTTAGCAGTACAGTGATTGCCTACCACACGCAAGGCGTGCAGTTTGATCCTCACACTACATAATAAATAAATAAATAAATAAATAAATAGTGGCTGGTTGTCTTGAGGACCCCACTTCCCAACCACTGCATGTGGTGCTTCTCTACCACCAATATCTCATGAGATCCTCATGGAAACCTCCTGCAGCTTCCTGAGGAGAATCCTCTGCCTTTAGAGAAAGAGACCTCTCCAACTGTGTGCTCTGCAACATGGCTATTTTTTGTTCACAGGTTATGTCACTTGGATGGGGATCCTTTATTTGCCCAGCATAGAGATGAAAATGGTACATCAAGATCAGTTTTTACTGAGAGTAAAAACTGGTACATGCAAAGCACTTGCTCAGGGATGGAAATTTAAAAAAAAAAAAAAAAAGCATTTTGCCAAGGGAATAGAAGAAGATAAGAATGAGTGAAGGAGGGAGAGCCAGAAAGGAATTTTTATCAGGTTCACTTGTTTGTTCTGTCCCAAGTGTTACATGCTTGTGGCATCCAATACTATCAAATTAGTAATCACACAATGGATTGAGATTAATTAATAAAAATGTGTTTAACAAGAAAAAGGTGGACACTACACATGTGTGAGTACGGGCAGTATTCCTTACAGAATCCACCACCACCACCACCTGTGAGGGCAGAGCAGCTCCCCTTTTTCTGGGCACTTCCCCCAGAGTGGGTGCAGTCTCCAGGAGGCGAATATAAGAGATGAAAAAGAAACCACAAGAAAGCCCCCTTTGCTTTCCACCCCTCAGAATCAGGCGCTCTGAAATTTTTTCATCCCAAGTGCCCACAGAGGGAAGTCAGAAGGATCTGGGAGTGGACAAAAGTGAAGAAAAGAGCTGGGGCCATCCTGGACCAGGGCCCCACGCTTTGTGGCTCTGTAGCTTTCCTGAAGCAAGACTCAGGAGGACACGGGACTCCAGCAGGGACTCACTGAGCCTCACCAAGTGCCAGGCACCAACAGCCTTCCACTGTTCGGTCTCAGATTCAGCTGACATTGCTAGCATTCCGTTTTACTGATCAGAAAACTGAGAACAGAGCGCACCAGTTCACACACCCAGTGAGAATGGCACCAGGATTCCAGTTCCTCAGCATCTGCTCTAATCTCACTGTGCCCCCTGCATTTTTCTCCAAAATTTCCACCCAAATTCCTCTGTCTCCTGTCAAGGAATAAATTCCCAGATTTTAGGAGAAAGCTGTTCCAGAAAAGGAAAACAAAGGCTTTCCTATGGAGGGAGGGGATCAGGAACAGAAATCAAAGACCTGGTTGTGCCATCCGGGAGCCGAGCACCTCTCTCCTCGGTGAGACAGGTCACGAAGCCTGCCACTGCACAGTGCTGAAGCCATGGGGAAGAAACTCATTTCGTTCCACCGAGGCGGGCAGCAAACCAAAGAGCAGCAGGGTAGGGCAGGGTAGGACAGGACAGGGCAAGTACTATGGAAAGATCTGGGAACGCAGCAGTCAGGCCTGCTGCAAACCCGGGCTAAGTGCACCATCTGACACGTCAGGGGCGACGTCGCGGGATGGCAAGCTGGGACTGGCAACAGGCCCTGGGGTATCGCCCTGATCAAAAAGGCTTCTCCACGCACCTCGCGGGCCTCTTCCCAACGCCTGGGCGCAGCATCCTCCCAAGGTCCGCCTCCCGCCACTTTCTGCTGCTCACCTCCCCAGGTTCGGAAGTCCTGGGGCGACGCCTTGCGAAGCTGGGCTCCATAGGCGGGAGGCTCCTGAACCGCCCTGCCAGCCAGGAGCCGGGCGTCTGGACCCCACCCAGCGAGCGACCTCAGACCCTTGAGTCCCGCACCCAACAGCAGACACTCCAAAGCCGCCAAGATCTAGAAGACTGCGGAGTGGAACACGATTGGTCGCTGATGTGTCTGGGAAATGTAGTCTACTCGAGACTAGAGGCTTCTGGGAAGTGTAGTTCTCTGCATTTGAGCAGTGAAGGGCGGGCTGAACCTATCTGGTGCCCAGACTCCAGTTGAGGCTCCCTTTAGTAGAACTGGGCTTTGCTGACGCCCTCCATGAGCAATGTGGAATCTTGGATTCCAGGAAGTGGATACTTCATGGAGGGCAATATCTTGTACTCTTCATTTGTGTGAATGCTGGAACGTAATTATACAGCATTTTAGAGGAAAATCAAAAGAAGAACAAGGTTGGAGTTATCTGGGAGATTTGATAGATTGAATAGGATAGACTGGGCAGGTGGGAATGGAGCAAAGATTCTAAGGTAGTGAGGGAAGTAGAAATGAAAGGGTTAGACTCAGGTACTGAGAAGCCATTGGATTATTTTGTTTGAAAGTAAATTTTTGTTTTCCATTACAAAGCCTGGCGCAATGGCACACTCCTGTGTTCCTAGATACTCCAGTGAGTGAGGCAGGAGGATCTCCAGTTCCAGGCCAGCAGGAGCAACATAGTGAAACCCTGTCTCAAATAAGTAAATTTCAGTCACAAGACAAATTCAGAAAGTTCAACAAATAATGGAAAGTTGAAAGAAAAACGCCCTTGACCCTAGTCAGAAATAAGTGGTAAACATTTTGACAAACTCCTTGAAACAACTTGTTGAGCTCCATATCCACCTTTCAATCACTGCCACTCTCATTTAAACAAAATGGAATATTGCAGATAGTACTTGTTACCTATTTTGTTTTTTCCCCCCACTGAAGAATATGCCATTTAAATTTGCCAATAGTGTAGTTGGCTGACCATAAACTGAGACCTCTGAAACTTTGATCCCACAATTAAACTGTTCTTCCTCTAAGTTGTATTTTTTGGGCATTTTAATCACAGTGATGAAAAGCTATCATCCTTTATTGTGTGTTGGTACATACTTCCTAATCAGAAATAATTTCCCCTTGCAACTAATAAGCATTTCGTGGAGAGACACTTTGTAACCCTGCTAATACATTTTCATCATAGTACTACTATCATGACTTTATTTTATTTTTGCACATTTTCATTGGTGCATTATAGTTGTGCATAATGATGAGATTTTGTTGTTAATATTCATATGTGCATTCAATATAATTAGGCTAATTATGACTTTTGAGATTGTTTTTGGCTTTTATTTATAGTTTTATTACCCATTTATACATCCTTACAGAATAGTTTCACCTGTTACTAACTTTATATGATAAAATCGTACACCTGTATTTTCAGGTCATTCAGTCTAGGATAGTCAGGCATAGACAAAAACTGGCCTCCAAACATTTTGTTGGTATTTCCCTCATGATTTTCCTACTATACTGTAGAGGACATTTTGTGTTGTTTCCGGACTTTAGCTATTCAGAACCATGCTAACAGAAGTGAAGCATGTCAGTGATAAACCTAGGTAGTTTTGGTATATGGGTATTTACTGTAAATTTCTTTCTGCTGGGAGCCATTAGCCAAGTAGGTATGACAGTTTCCTTGCCAGCGTACCCCATGTTGCAGTGACATTGAATGTAGGTGACCTTGTTCAAGGACCAAGGCGGATTAGGGCGTTCCCGGTTTAGGTTCCAGGTTTAAGGTTTAAGATTATTCCTGCTGGGAATAGGGCGTATCCTGCTGCCTGAGTTCCCCTTGAGTTCTCACGGGATTCAGAGTATTTTTTGAGAGATAGAAGCCCAGTGGAGGTGGATTTGGGCAGAGAACGTGGATTTGGGCAGAGAACGTGGATTTCCCCAGAACGTGATTGTAGACGGCTGGTGTGAGTTCGGGAATAAAGAGTTGCTGTTTGAATCTACAAGCTGTGTGGTGGCTCATGATTGTGTGCCCAGCCAGACTGCGGCATTTGTGCCCAGCCAGACTGCAGCATCTTTCAGTTTTGCTTTGTGTTTGAAAATGTTCATCATAATGTTGGAAGAATTCTATATCTTGTATTGGAGCCAAAATGTAGAAATCCCATTCTTCTTAGGTTGTCCTTCTTATAATTTAAATACCCTTGACATGACACAACAAATAATCCTAGAAGGATTCTGAAATTTGGGAAGAGTTAGGCAACTGGGGACTTTGAGACTGAGGAGCAACATAATAGAAAATCCCTTTCTTTTCCTCATCATCTCCCATATCTTCCAACTAAAGAGTTGTAGAAGCTGTAGATTGGCAGTTTATATCACCCCAAAGTCACATATTGAATCCTAACACTTAAGATGATGATATTTGGAGATGGAGACTTTGGAAGGTAATTAGGTCATGAGGTTAGAGACCTCGTGAATTATATCATTGCCCTTATATAAGCAGACATGAGATCTTGCTTTTCTCTCCACCAAGTAGGTAGGATACAGCAAGAAGTTGGCCATCTGCAAGTAAGCAAGTGGATCACCAGATACTGAACCTTCAGGTACCTTGTTTTTGAACTACTTAGCCTCCCCAAATTTCTCAAATTGCTGTTTGTTTTTTAAGCACTCAATCTACAATAGTCTAAGACAGGCACAGACAAAAATAAAATATTATAAGGACAGCTGTTTCCCTTAGTCAAAGGACCATTTGGTGGCATTTATACACCATCAAAAACAACAATAACAACAAAAATCTCATACACCCTCATTTCATGGAGGAAAGAAGTAACATATTTTTCTCAAATAAAAAAAAAGAACCATCAGGCTGTGGTTGTGACTCAGTGGTAGAGCACTGGCCTAGTACATTAGAGGCCCTGGGTTTGATGCTCAGCACCATATGAAAATAAATAAATTAAATTAAGGTATTGTGTCCAACCACAACTAAAAATAAATATTAAAAAAAGAACTGTCTCCCATGAATTCTATAGCTGGTAATAATATCTAAGAATAAAAGGGAAATAAAAATATTCTCAAACAAAGGATAATCAAGAGTATTTATGTTAACAAACCTACCCTTAATGTGTAACTAAAGGAAAATACTCTAAGCAAATAATAACATAAAAAGATTGGGAAGTGCAAACATCAAAATAGGTAAAATTGTGGATAAATAACAGATTATCTGACTTATGACTTTCTTATATAATATTTGCTGATTAAAGGAAGAATCATAACACTTTTTGATGTGAAGATTAATATATAGAGAGGGAATACTTAAGATAATTATACTTAAAAAGCAGGGAGGCAAAGGGGTCTACATGGAAATGATGTTTCTTGCACTTTGTTGATGGTGATAAGTTATGCACATATATTACTATTCCTAGTGCTGATACTAAAAATTTATACAAAATTACATACTAAAAAATAGTACAATTAAACTTACACAGAATTTTTGAAAGAGAATTCAGGAAACTCACAGGAAGGCAAAAAAAAGAATGAGAAACAGAGGAAACAAGGAAAACAAAATCTTTCATCTGTCATTCATGAAATGGCTCATAATAGAAAAAAATTGACTTTCCATTTTTGGTTAAGGATAGTAAGGGCAAGGGTTTGACATAGTGGTAAAATGCTTGCCCCACATGGGTTCAATTCCCAGTACAACAAATAATAACAATAATAGCAATATATTTTTAAATAACTTGCTGCTATAAATATACTGTACATGCTGGTGTATTTTTTCTTGGTATCTCTAGGGTTTGCAAATGCCTAGTGATGCTTGAAGCCTCCCAGGGACACATAGTTATTGATAGTTTTAAAGGAATGACTTTCTAGTCCCCAGCTTCCATTTGTACTGCCCTGTAAAAGAGATTCCCTTCTTTCTCCTTCAACTCCTTCAAATAACTTTTGTCTTACTATCAATACTCTTAAAAAGTGCAGTGCCCAGAGGTATGACATTTTCCAGGGCATCACACCATTGAAGTACAGATATGATTCTTTTTTAGAGAGACTTCTTGGGCCTCCCTCTTTAGATATATTTCTGTTAGTAGTGAAGCATTGTGTTAGAAATGGGCTATGTAGGTTCTTAGGAGCTCTAAAACCAGATATTCAGTAATTTGAAGTGAGGACAATTCTTTAACAACCACTCATTACCTGTTCTACCACTGCCAAATGATGTACTGCTTTTGAGAAAGAATACATAGTGAGAACAAAGCCAAAAGGGCTCTGGTAAAATACTGAATGCTTAAAATGGCGCGCGTGCGCGCACACACACACACACGTTTTGAAATAAGCACTACTCTTCAGCAAAAGGTGATGTGGAAAAGATTTCAAAATTCATATCAACCAGTCAGAGCCAACTGTAATGGTTTTATGGTTTTACTTACTGATGTCAGACTGTCTTCAACTCTGTTTAATATCCTGCCATAGGAGAGCTCATTAAATGGCAAGAACAGCAACTTTAAGTGGTCTTAACTACACATTAATGATGCTCATTGCTTTATTTCACCCCAATACATAATTATTTATATTTGTATTATTTATATTTGAGTGTATTATGAAGTGAAGTGTACATTTTAAAAATGTTGATAAATTTGTTTGACCTTAAGTATGACACGCAACTCTCTCATCAGCTCAGAAATTTCCCCCATCTACTTCCCAGTTGCTATGATATAAAATGCCCCCTGAAAGAACAAACAAGGCTCGCTGTTGGAGAAAATGCCCGTTTATTGAGGAACAGCTCTGCATATTTATAGAGCTGGGGATGGTTTGACAGTTATGACAGTTTAATGGTTGAACGGTTTGACAGTTGGCATGGGGTGCTTTCTGATTGGTGGGTAAGGATCATGTGAGGCAGCATGGCTAGTCTGATTGGTGGGTAAGGATCATGTGAGCTAGCAGGGCTAGTCTGATTGGTGGGTAAGGATCATGTGAGCCAGCGGGGCTAGTCTGATTGGTGGGTAAGGATCATGTGAGCCATCAGGGCTCACCATTGGACGGCAGGATCACGTGAGCCAGCAGGGCTCACCATTGGATGGCTCTTCTTGGGGGATGGGGAAGTTAGTCTTTGGAGCCAGGGTG